ATGTATGGATCACTTGGGTTGTTACCAACATCTGGTGAAAATTTCATGTCATTAGCACCTCTAGTAATATATTTACTGAGAAAAATGTTGACGTCTTCAATACTTATTTTACCCGCTGTTACTACTGAAAGTGCCATTTAGAATTTTTTTAATTTACAAGCCTTTCATTGCCCTTTAAATTCTAAATATCTCATGAATCTGGGGCAAACTGTCAAGCTTTGGATCTAAATAGCTCATAGTTTCAATTTCAGTGAAGCGCCAGGTATGAATGAATCAGACAAACCCTCAAAAACTGAACTCTGAAACTGATGTAGTGCTATTATAATGACATATTCCTACGAGGGTGGGCTGTTGTGTTAAACRGGTGGTCTTGCCTGCAGTGACAGGACATGTAACGTATTTGGTGGGTTTTCTCACCTGTGAGCTGACAGATCTGGCTGAGAGCAGGGGACTCCCAGTTCCACATGGTGATTTGGTGATGAGGAAGACCGTGACCGGTGACAAGAGATTTCTTCCTKTCAGCCCACTGAAGAGAGCAGATCTGTGAAATGTTTTATGTGAACGTCAAGCGGCCTCTRCGCACAATAAAATTCACCTTACAGGCTGTGAGACACAAGCACCTGTGAGTTTGTGTTGATGCACGTCAGGCAGGACTCTGACTGTGTGTCCCAGATTCTAACTGTGCCATCTTTCCATCCTCCTCCTGTAGCGATCACTCGGCTCTGCCATGGACACCACCCCAAAGCCTGGACATGTACAACAACAACAAAAATTCAATCGAGGTTTTGTCACCAAACCTATTTTTTTTTTTACCCCTTAAGTACTTCTGTCCTGTGATTCATCTCTGTACAGGTTCAGATTAGTCACCATGCAGTCACACAGCTGAACATTTGCAGTTTTTAAAACAAACTGATTTTTCTCTGAGTGATTTGGTTCAAATCAAATTAAATGACAAATATCAGATGCAGCCGTGTGTCACTGATTTTTATTTTTTCATTTTTAACTTCTGATTTCAGCCACCTTAACAGCGCTGGGCTGTTTCATGGTTCTGACAGGCTGGCGTGACCTTTTCACCCCTGCGACGTCCTTGTCCCAGACGTGAAGAAGTCCCTCTGTGGAGCCGCTGGCCAGCCATTGGTTTCCTGGTGACCACTGCAGGCCGCAGACGCTGCCGTTCTGCAGAGCGGAGCCCACGACGGCCGGAGCAGCGCGGGGGTCCAGGTGGTGGATGTGTCCGAGAGCGGAGCCGCTGTGAGGTTGTGGACACTGTTAAACACAGCCTTGATGTTGCTCTTAATTTATTTTATGCTTAAAGCAAAATGACAAACGTGTGACATCATAATCAGGAGAGTGATGTTAAAAATGCAAGATCAATGTGCACGTTTAAGAGGATGATAAAAGTTTGTTTGTTAAAGAAATATGAAATAGCATAATGTGTATTGTTGTTCAACAAGGATTTGATATTGTTTTTCGTTTAGTTTGGCTTTTTGTAAATTACTATTGTTTGAATTTACTCTTGGGGAAAAAGGGGCAGATATAAGATTATTTTCTTCTTTCTGCTGCCTTTCATTTTGTTTGTATTTTTTCTAATGTTTATAGATTTTTTAAATTTAATTAAGAAATCCTATTTTTTATTACAAGCATTCCTTCCATTTCAGCCACTGTATTGAAGGACATGAATTAAAAGAGAAATACTTTTTTTTTTAACAAAAACACAGTGTGAAGGCTGAGTACTGCATGACCTGAGTGAGTTGTTAAAGCTAAAAAAGCAGATCAGTAGCTGAAGGAAGCAAAATGCAAACCAAAAGCTTAAAGTAAAACTAAAACCACTAACTAAAAGTTAAATGTAGCAAAAGGCTAAATAAATCAAAAAGTAGCAAAACGCTAGCTAAGAYCTAAAAGTATCAAAACAATAAACAGAAGTTTAAAAAAAGTTCCGCTTCCCTCAGTTAGTAACTATTTCATTCATAAACACACATAACAGTTACATTCTGTTCCACCCTTCTGCGGTCTGTGCCCCTATCTGGCAACCCCCAGAAAAAATCCTAAACCCGCCCC